ACTAATAACTGTAACATGCACTTTTAGATCAAAGGACACACTATCATATAAATTAAATAAACCATATAAGTAAATAAAAGTTATGTGCAAAGATTTAATTTAGAAAAAAAAATATTTACAAGTTTATTAATACTTTCAGTTCTTTGAGAATTATTTTAAGAAGACTATTTTAGCACTTAGTTGTCTATATTAATATACGTATAAAGTCGGCTCAACATTCCTTGTTTTTCAAATTCTTTTAGATACTTAAAAAAAATAAAACCGCTAAAATAAAAGCAAGACTTTACTTCCACATTTCTTTTTTCAATTTTTTAATAATTTAATCTCATAATATAAGTATTGTAATATTACAACGAATGTTTTCTCGACGTTTCATGATCCCTAGAGTACGAAAAAGTAGGTCTCGTGTTTCCGTCTGTCTTACGTCCGTGTCGATTTCTATTAGATTGATAATAATTTACGAAACTACTGGACGGCTTGTTGGAAAATTTTGTATGTATATATGTTAATCGAAATTTGTCTAATCATCCCTCCAATAATGATGGCGTCAATTCAATATTTTACGCAGTAACAGATCTTAAATTTTATAAAATAATTCCTGTAGTTGGGTTTATGAATCCACCTTAATTTAGTTGAATATTATTATATTTTTTGTTTAATCCTTTATGTACTTTTAGCAAATAGCACGAATTTCAACTCGCGGATCTCCTCGAGCACCAGCTTTGCAAAATACAGTAATATTGCGCCCACGTATACTTAATGGTACTAACAAAATAATAAAAAATAATATTTGTACCATTTTGCTCAATCGTAGCTTAATTAATTAACTGGTTTTCTCTTCTCTTTTGAGGAGACAGAATCAATCAAATTTCATTCTGCATATCTTGATCTGCAGCCGCTGATGCTTGCTATCTGTACGTGTTTAATAGTCGAATTCTTTCGAAGTATCAACATAAACAGTCGAAGTTAAGCATGTACCGAGAATACATTTTTTCCGTTGGCTATCTACTTTAAATATAATCCATATTTAAGACCCCGTGGAATTTGCATCTAGATTTTATAATTTTCCAAAGATTCGTTGGACTGTACTTCAGGGGCGAGGGAAGTTCTGTGGAAATAATCTTCGACACTAATTTTTTTTATTCAATTTTGACATGTTAAACGGCAATTATTGACTTCATAGCAACTGTGACAAGTGATTCTTTAATCACTAGTGAATTAAAAAAAAATTAAATCAGCGAATCATAATAATATTTTTATTTATTAATATATTAATTTTATAACAATAATAGGTAACAAAACCTTTTTTTAAGTTGCCAATAGTAAGACCATAATGATGAGGATTCTACTTTTGTTGATCGTTCGGAAATGTAAGCCAAGACGATATTTTCGTCCACCCCTTTTGCTTGCTTTTGATCCCTCCATCAGCAAAATATGTTGTATTCTTTTTTGTATAAATCTTTTGATTTCTGGGGAACTAACTTCCCCACAGCCTTTTCTACTTCCTGTAGAATTGAATCAGGTACAAAAACTTCTTTTTTTCACTAGCAGCCATGACGCATGCAAATGTCGACTCATTTAGAGGTAGCAAATTCAACTTTTGCGACCACGGGTTCAAAAAGAAAAATTGAGGTTATGTACGCAATGTTTGATGTGATTATTTCTTAAAAAATGAACAAATGTGTGCTACAAACATTACTTGAGTATACGCATGGTAGTTGGTAGACGGTAGAACATAAAATGATTAACTCAGCGACAAGTATAAACGGTTTTCTTTGTGTTGAAGATTTAGATTAAGTTTGATTAGAAATCAAAACAAAATCATGTTGCGTCAAAAAATTTAACGTTTATTTTTTCAGTTTATTGTCTTATGGTTTCTACTAGTGAAAAAAATAGTATATTAACCACGGTTGCAAAGCCACTTCTAGACCTCACGCTTCAGAGCCCTCGACGCTGCGCGTCTCGGGTTCTAATTTGCGCTCGGTCTAGAATGCTTGGCTCTGCAACCTTGGCTAATAATATACTATTTTTCCAAAGTTTTCTCCCATTTCACACAAATTTTCACAGAACAAATTGTTGTTTACAGTTTACAAATAAACAACTAGGCACCAGGGCAACGAAACCCGCTGACCTCTGCAGCCTCGATTTTGCTAGTTTTCGGTGTAAAATTTTAATTCTTGATTTAAGCGGGCTTAATTTTGTCAAAATTGAATAAAACGTTGTATACACCAGGTGAGTTAACGTTTTCATTCACTCGAAGAAATGAGATCACGCGCACGCAGTAATATCGTGAATAAAAACGTATTTAACTCACTTGGATTTTAATCCTCCACGATTTAGTTTTTATTTATGCACTGTTTATGACACTAGTGTTTTAAAAATGTTGAAAATTTCTCATTAAACTCAAATTTCCTATATCAAATTACAACGTTATAAACTTTTTACTGGAGGGAAACAATAATTTTACAGTGCTTCGTTTTCAAAATTTTAGGAAAATTATATCATGACGCTTTCAGGATTTCTTATAGAGTTTAAAAAATAATATTGTTACCAAAGCAGGAACAATATTGCATTTCAGGGATACTTTTTAGGACAGATTTATTTATTGCAATTTTGGAATGGTACCACCAACTTTCAAGAGGGGGAGGAATAAATAAATTCGAATTAATGTTGTAGAGTTTCCAGTAAATTGTACAATTGGATTCCACACATTTTACTGCAGCCCGTATGCGTGAGGTTAAAAATATTTATATATTATAAAATAACAAATAAGAGACATGTTTGTAAGTAAATTTCAAGTGAAATTTATTTAACAAAACTTTGAGATTATTTTATCCAATCCAACAGATAAATTTTCGTTAGCGCTTTACCATTTGCGTGATAATCTTAACATGCAGTTAATATTTCATAGTAATCAATCAGATAATTGTGGAGATTTTCGAAATAAGTCGCTAGGTAAACTTGAATTTTGTCAATCCGCATCTATTGCCTTTAAAATCTGAATTTGATTTATGAAAATCGTTGTAACTTGCAGTTTGTTTCAAGTGTCGTATTTTTAAGCTACTTCCATGTTTTCCTGACGTTTCATGACCTCTAGAGTATGAAAAAGTAGGTCTCCGCTTTCTGTGTGTCTGTCGTCTACCGGATAGATTGTTTTCCAATTTTATATTTTTGTTATGAATATCGTGTCCATGGAAAACTACCAAAATAAAACAACCAACATTTGTCTAATCTTCTTCGCCATCAATTTGATGACGTCACCTCAAAATTTTGTATGATAAATATTATTTAAATTTTATAAAATAACGTACTCCTGTACTTGTAGATTATGAATACGCCTTGATTTTTTATGCAAAGCACTCAGATTTTCGCAAAAAATCCAAATTGTACAACAACCATTTACAATAATGTAAGAGGGACGCAGTGGACCGGTAATTCAGCTCCGTTGATTAGAGCATTGTACTAGCAACGCGAAGGTCGCGAATCCGATTCTGTTGCAGGTTCGATCCACTCGTAGGCCGCTTTGTATTTTTCTTACTCTGTGATTGGTATTATCATTTTTTTTTTCTAAAACACTAAATTTGTGTGATTGCACTTCAAGGGTGGAGGAAATTCTGTCTAATAACATTTTCAGTCTTTTAAACTATGTTTTTTTGTTACTTATCATTATCACAATCATGTTTCACAATATAAGTATTCCAAATTTTAACTTCTTTGTCACTTGCACAAACTAATATATTTTTTTTTGAGGTAAAAATGCTTAAACTCGAAGACAAGCCATTTTAACAGAAATGATGTTTGTATTGCCTCAGATTCGGATTTAAAAATTCTTAATTAGAAGAAAAATTTGCCAGTGATTGTTTCTACTTTCTGCCACGGTATTAACTGTAATTGTTGTAGATCAATTTTAAAAATTTCAATAAGTGAAAAAAATAATTTCGTTTTCTGAAAAACTTTAATATTTTTTTGATACATTTAAGTGCTCATTCACAATGGGAGTAAAGCATAAGGATGTCCTAACCATTAGTGCATACAAATTGATGTTTAGTGCTCTATGCTTGTATTCGTTTACAATGAACATAAGTGCAGATTCACAATGGGCATAAAGCATAAGGATGTCCTAAGCATTATGCTCATTGTGAACGAATACAAGCCTAGAGCACTAAACATAAATTTTTATGCATTAATGCTTAGGACATCCTTATGCTTTATGTCCATTGTGAATGAGCACTAACAAAGCAAGATTTTAAAATTTAACAATAAAAAATTGTGTTAGGATCAGCATTGTTTATTTATATTGCCCTGATAAATTGTAGGAAACATTCAATTACTGACCTCTTACAAAAACCTATGATAACACCGCCGCGAATTTTCTGATATAAAATGCACTGCTAATGCCGCCTCAAGCTACAATTAATCAATAAGCGGAAATGAAGACCAACGTTTTGGTATTCTACAAACTCTAAAACGTCGAGAAAATATGGAATTAGATATTGGCCACAACTACTTTATTACAATACTGTTTTAGCTTACGCTAAAGACGATGGAACAGTTTGATTTAAGATTTTATTAGGTATTGGGAAGTGAAGGAGGAAGGAGGATGTCTACAAATGTTAGAAATTCCAAGAACGATGGACTGACGTCACTGAATATAATGAATTATTTCTTAATAATCATAAACAACACTGCTTGTATGCTCAATTAGTTACATACAACGTCGCGAAAATATTTTTAGCTCGAATATCCTAATATTTATCACACAAATGAGAGTAATCATTGGTGCCTCTATCTTAACATTTTAATACTGACCTACAAACAAGTTTCTGAGAACACTAAATCAAGGTAAATATTCCTCTCAGTTGAATATCCCTCACAAATCCCGGATAGTCTTATAACAGCCCTCTGAATACCAAGATATCCCAAAAGATGGATTAAAGTTGCGTCATAATAGGCAAATATTTGGCGTAAGTTTGGGTAAGGGACACAAAGAAGGTAAATACCTGCAGAGGTTGCGTAAGAGGAGTTTCAGTGGGGCTATGACATCTTTCCGAGTAGGGTGTATGTACCCGCACTTCAGCCAAGACGTCCCGTGATCCATCTCTGGAAAGAGTCGAGTCGAGTTCATCTCTCGAAAATCCCCTGCCTACACCGTCCCTCTGAAAACCGGCCGATTTGTATCCGGAATTAAGGGGGTATCTGGCACAGTTGAGTCCGTCCCTGCAAGGTCCCGGACCGCAGTTGGCCGATTGTACGGTAAAGACAGATCCAGGTCGCCGACGTGGGTCACCTCTGGCGGCGGCCATCACATAGCTCCACATTGCAGGGCATTGCACGTTTTCACTCCCCTGGAACAACAAACAGTTTGGTATTTTTCACTGAAATGTTAACTATTCAACACCTACTGGCATGGTGATTTCAAGTTTACTGGTTATTAAGTATTCGCTACTTTTAGTTAAAAACCCGGATATCGCGAAGTAATCCATAAACTTACCATAAGTTGCAAATATTAAGGCCGGTAGTTTACATTGATGATTATTGTTTTGAAAATTTGCTGTAAGGCTTACCGCCATCCTTGCGATAAATTTACAAGTAGGGGGAAATCAAGGATAGCCTAGAAATCACCAAATTACTAAATAAGTGAAGTATCTAAAGCACGCCTATGGTATTTATATTTATATTGCAAAAAAATATGTGATAAGCTTGTGCAGTAGACCAGGTAAATAATGCGGATGACGTCACTTAGCTACGTTAAATTATTCTATTATTATTGGATCTCCAAAAAATACCAAGCATCTTACTGATTTGGTACCGCTCATTGACGTAATCATTTGTAAATGCTCTTACGAAAATATGATTTTCTTATTTGTTGTTTTATATGTTCCACCCGATATTTCTGTTCATGATTTTGAGTTATTTTTTAATGCCTTAGAAGTCATGGTAATGCATGAACATTTGATAATCGTTGGAGATTTCAACGTTCCTAGTTTTTCAAGTAATAGCCATAGTAACTGCCATAAAAGTTTAATTCTCAAGCAATTCTGCAGCGTTGTTCAACTATCACAATTTAATTCGATCCTTAATATTAATAACAGATTGCTGGACCTAATTTTTTCCAATCCAAATACTACAGCCCTAGTTTCCGACTGCACACCACCTTTAATATCTGAAGATAAGCATCACCCCGCTCTCCATCTAAACTTTAATTTTGCTATGCCTAGTATCACTTCTAAGTTTCCGTTAGCAAAAAAACTTCGCTATAACTTTCGCAAGGCCAACTTTTTAAAATTATATCATGCCATCAACAACGCGGACTGGTCTTTTTTAGAAAGTCAGGAAGATGTAAATATTGCTCTTGAGGGTTTTTATTCTTGTATTTATAAGTTATTTGATACATCTGTTCCACGTATAACCTCTAGCTCTTCGAAATTTACACCTTGGATTACTTCTGAGATTAAGCAGAATATAAAAACAAAAGACTGTTACAGGAGTAAATGGATTAAATTTAAGGATTCTAAATTCTATATCGAATTCAAACGATTAAGAGCTATTGTTAAAAAACAAATGGATAATGCCTACCAACTGTATCTAAATCATGTCCAGAGCAATATCAAATCTGATCCTTCATCTTTATGGAGCTTTCTACATTTGAAAAATGGCACTTCTAGAATACCGGGTCAGTTAAGAGACAATAATGGAAATATATTTTCGGAACTTCAGGATATTGTGGATGCTACTACTTTTGTCAATGTATTTACTGTTAACAACTCTACGCACATAGAGTCTAGTTCTATTTCTTCAAATTCTTTCTCAATGTCTTCCGTCAGCATAGAGGATTTAATTCTGATCATGTCAAATTTATCCAACAAACAAACATGTGGTGATGACTTAGTCCCTAGTTTTTTGATACGTGACTGTAGATATGCACTTGCCCAACCTTTGTCCATCATAATTAACAAGGCACTTGAAACAAGTACATTCCCGGACCTTTGGAAAATTGCAAGAATCAGTCCTATTTTTAAAAAGGGTGATCCATCTTTACTAGCAAACTATCGTCCTATTTCCATTCTAAGCAATTTTGCAAAAATTTATATAGTTGCATTTACAATAATACTCGTTTGCATATCAGTTTAGGACAGCATGAATTCAGAACTGGTAGATCTACAAACCTTGCAGTGCTTGTTCAAGATCTAAGTGTTGCACTTGATAAACGAGAACAAATAGACGTAATATATACTGACTTTTCCCGAGCTTTTGATGTTCTTCCTCACGACATTCTGTTAGGCAAACTTAATAACTTTGGATTTAACTATCCCCTTCTCAAACTGATGGAATCTTACTTAATAAACCGTAACAACTATGTATTTTACAATGGTTTTACCTCTTTTCGTTTTTTGTCAAGGTCTGGAGTCCCACAAGGCTGTAACCTTGGGCCTCTCCTCTTCAGTCTATTTATCAATGACCTTTTGGAATCTTTAAATTGCAGTATCTTAGCTTATGCTGATGATCTGAAAATTTATTCTAAAATCTCAAGTCTTTATGATGCTGAGCTTTTACAACGTGAACTTATGGAAATCGTGGAATGGTGCTATCAAATAGACTTATTATTAATATTAGTAAATGTTGCTACATTTCATATTGTCGAAAACTTAATATCGTTGATTTTTCTTATTCAATAGAAGGTACACCGTTAGAACGAAAAACATCGATCAAAGATCTAGGAGTTACTTTTGATAGCTGCTTGACTTTTGATATTCATCTTACCAACATTTGCAATGCTGCGAATAAATCTTTGGGGTTTGTCATGAGAACTTCAAAATTTTTCAACAACATTGACGTAATTAAATCCCTCTTCTTTGCATATGTTCTTTCGAAATTAGAGTATGCCTCACTAATATGGTATCCCATGTATATGTGTCAGCACATGCTTCTTGATAAAGTGGACAGGAAATTTTTGAAATCCCTTTCGTTCAAAATTGGTGGTAATTATCCGGCCAGAGGTATTGAGATGGAAAGTCTTCTCCAACGACACAAGATGTCCTCTTTGATGGTTCGAAGAGATCTGCATGCGGCTAACTTCTTGTGTAAGCTTATTCACAACAAAATTGATTGCCCATATTTATTATCACAGATTAGATTTAATCTCCCTCGGCCAGCATCGAGATATGTTAACACCTTTCATATCGCCACCGCCCGAACTAATATCCTTCGTCGTTCGCCAATTACTACAATATGTCGATGTGCAGATAGATATGTAGCTGATATATTTTATTCAAATTACTTTAAACTTGGAATTATGTTTTTGTTATTGTTATAATTTTTGTGTTGGTTATTCATGTAAGTAATTATTTAGATTTGTCCTGTCATTAGGGTAACCTGTTGGACAATAAAATTATTATTATTATTATTATTAAATCACTTCCTAATGTCTGACCACTAGTTATAGTATAGAAAAACAGTTAAAGATGGCATGTCACTGGTACATTGACTACCAAATAAATACAGAATGCACTACTTTCATTAAATTCTGCTCGTTTAACTACTTATGTCTTTAAAATTAATTTTAATTTTGCCAGATACTGTTCTTTGAACGTTGTCTTAGTTTGGATATGATCAATATGGGAGGACTAGTCCAGATATTTAGAAGTGTCATTTCCTTCTTGGGCTTCGATTATTTCGTTATTCTGGGTTATATAAGGTACTTGTTGTTGAAAGTCTCTTCTAATTGCTTGAGTTTTACCTTTTTCAATTCAATACCAAAGCTCCATTTCACTGTCACCGGAAAACAGTTATGTTAGATTTAGTAATAATAATAATAATAATAACGTATTTATTCAACGGACAAGTTTTCCATAGTAGGATACAAAAATTACATAAATATATACTATTGTAATCAGATCAACAGTACAACAGATAAATAGTGACTCATTGTACAAACATTTCTTACAATTATTACGACTAGTAAACTGCTACATATTGCTTTCAAATATATGTATCTACTTTTTTTGCAGATTTCATTATACGAAGAACACATATAATATATAATTTATCTGAGAACACATACACATATTAGTTCTGGCAAATTCAATATAAAATGTGCCCGGATTCCTCGAATTCAGACGAGGACTATGGAAACATATTTTTCTTAATAAATTTGTACATTTGGTAATACCATAGACTATTTTGTACACAAATATATTTGCAATAAATTGATGCCTTACATGCAAGTTTGATAAATTCAATTCACATAGTAACTACTACGTGAATTTAATTAGAACCAACTGGTTCTGTGGATAACCTTTTTCAAGTGCCATGATATGAGTAACATAATAAGGTCTCCACAGTATACAGCAATACTTTAGTATAGATCTTACATACGCAGTATACACAGTTAATTAACATTTCGTGCTATGAAAACCTCTGGTATGTCTTACTACAAATACTAACAACTTGTGTAATTTACGTGTGGTGGAAAAGACAGTTCACGATTCATAACAATACCTAAATCTTACAGTCTGATGTCTTAATCATCCTGAATATTAAAAAAAATGTTATTTCGACAACAGTCTCCCTACTTCTACACATGAAGCAGTAGCTTACGCTTAAGAAATAAAAATATGATTGTTCGCAACTTTTTAAAGATTATTATTATTATTGGAAAGCTTGTTTTTCCGAATTCATTAATATATCATACTTTACATTTCACTGCGTAACTGCCTTTGATTTGCAGTAATTATATTACGAATACCCACTCTGTTAACTTGTGTATATTTGGACTGGCGTGGAGCGTGGGGAAATCAGGTGAACAAACAATTGCTTCACAAATATCAAAGCATTGATAAAACACAAAGTTGTGCCTGTTTCTAGCAAATTTGTTAAAGTGGAAAATGTTCCGATCAACATTTCAACAAGACCACATACCTCAATTTCCACACGTGCAATACACGTGCTATACTATTTAAAATAAACAAAGTCCCGGTGTAAAAAAATTGTGACCCATGGGTTAATCGAACCAGCGATTTTCACGTTAGTAATTCAACATTTTTACGGCACAGAGTTCATCAAACGTCAGTGCTCTAATACTGGTATAAAATGTGATGATTGCAAATTGGATTTTTTTGTGAAAACTGGGTGCTTATGATAAAAACTCAGGACGGATTTTATAAAATTAAAATCACCATTTACTAACAAAATAAATTGGTGGAAAATTGTTTCGACAAGACCTTCTCTCGCACCGAAAGTACAATGAAACATATCCAGCATTTTCGAGTTGAGTTTTTTTTTTTTACTCAATTTTGTGATTACATCAACATTTTTGCAAGGCACTTGGCAACTTGGATTGGTAGAG